TTTCTAGTCGCGTTACTAAATTCTCCTACGCCGCCTAAGCGCGATCGATAGAAACGAAAAATGGAAGTCGGTAATGCGTCCTAAATACGAGGACTATTAGACGCTGAATGCGAATTGTTGGCGCAAACAGAAGCTCGTAAATGTTGGCGAGAAACGGCTGCGAAATAGATTCGGTCTCCCATTTAACAACAATTTCCCACGAGAGACGAGACTTGGTGGAAATGGTGCACGACGTTATAAAGGTACTATAAGTGGTACGGTGCTTTAGTAGGCGAACAGAAACGCTAATCCTGACTGCGACCTCGTTCCCGGGGTCCTCGTCGATGACCTCGACAAGATGTTCCCCCCAATGAGGTCGCCCGTAGCAGCTCCGGCTCGTGAAACCGCGACAATGACGCTGTAAATCCGTCAACGATCGCGCCGCGGGATCATTAGCTCGTTCACCTCTGGTTATGGGGAGGCGGGCGTTCTTTTAATTACGGTTAATTTCCATGTTCATAATCGCTTTGATTAATTGATACCCTGCAACACGTTTATCGATACATCAGCATGTTTCATAAAACGTGGCCATTAAGAATCAGTGCACAAAGTGATGAAACAAGTTCGTGCAAACTTCTATCGTATCTTCTTTCCACGTTTTTACGAAACATATCCAGTATACAATTATTATTTATTTAATAAATTTTTTTTTTTGTACTATACAGGGTGTTCACTCCTGGGAAAAATTTTAATGGGAGATTCTAGGGGCCAAAATAAGAAGAAAATCAAGAATATCAGTTTGTTGATGGAGGCTTCGTTAGAAAGTTATTAACAATTAAATTCAAAAATTTCAAATCGGTCTGGAAAAATTATTTTCGGCTACGGGGGTCTATTATAATCATTTTTGGTGAATAGACATATCCCCGAAATCCTACGCATTTTCAAGAAAAAAATTCGAGAAGGTGTGAAATTTTACGGCGAAATAAAAATTTTTCACATCATTCTAAAAAAATTATATTCGATTGCAGGGCTCAATTACAATCAATTTTAGTCATTAGACATACCCCCGAAATCCTACGCATTTTCGAGAAAAAAATTCGAGAAGATGCCTAAATTTTTCGACGAAAAAGAAAAATTTCAAATCGTTCTGGAAAAATTATTTTCGGTTGCAGGGGTCAATTACAATCATTTTTGGTTAATAGATATACCCCCGAAATCCTACCCACTTTCTAGAAAAAAATTCGAGAATGATAGAACAACGAAGCATCGATATCTCAATCACTATAAATTTTATCGAAAATTCGTATAGAATAAAATAAATTGCAAATTTATTATGCAATAATTTGCATCATGTGCATATTTGCAATAGAACCAACATTAAGAAAGATATCGTAGATTTTATTCACAGCGTTCCCCAAAGCAAGAACTTTGTGATATACAGTTTACATTTTAAATCGTGCTTCAAACTCGAATTGCATCCGTTTCCGTCGATATCCCCCTCAGACAGTCCTCGACGTGGACAAGCTAATTAACTAACCTCGCATGGAAGGGTCAGCCACGGTTTGGAAAAATTATCAAAGAAAACGTATGTACATACGAGGTCCCTCGAGTTATCCGCCGGTGCAAAACGAATCTCGTAAAAATGGTTCCCGTCGTTGGCACGTCAATTAATTTCCGCGGAGAAACGTGCATCGGGGTTCTGGTCGTGGAAGGTACACGATTATGGAAAGGTCACTGGTACATGATATTTGTTGAGAGCATCGAGTGATTACCTTCGCTCGCGGTGTACGCGAGGACGTAATATGAAGCGGAGATTAAATCAAACACGGACTTTTCTCGGTTTAATTATCCCGCGGAAAACACCGAAAGGATCTCGCGGAATCTGACGCGGATCCGACGGTGGACAACTTTTCTTTCCCACAGTATTTCACCTCTGTAAAAAAAATGCACGACAATGGTTTGCCGGTGCTCGCGAGACGTTCTTATGATTCCCGCGAAAGCAATTGAAAAAAATTTCCTATTGTTACGTTCGTTTCGATTTATTCTCCCTTTCACTTGGGATTTTTCGACTCCCCTCTGGTTAAAGCCCGTTTCGATGCATCAATTCTATCGTTCGACAAATTTAGAATAGTAATTATAGAAAGCAAGTCGCTAGAAGTAGTGTAATTACGATTCAACTTGGTCTCTCGGTAAAAGGTTTCGCCACGGAACACGTCATTAATTATCTAACGAGTCGTACGTCGTACGCGAAGGAAATCGTGTGCTGGAAATGGAACGATGATTGTACAGAGCTGAAATACGATTCGCCGTTCGCGGATGAATCGGTGCCTTAACGTAACACACGTTTCATCGAATACACACGCTCGTTGAACTTAGAACCCCGGGTCTGTTTGGCCGATTTCCTGTGCTCCGATCGGCGCTCCGCGTACCGAGTTTATAAGGCGTGTGCACCGTCGAAAAGGTCAAATTGCGTATTACGTCTCTGCACGAGCGTACGAGCTGAATTTTAAATTAAACCACGATTTCCATTATCCGACGTAAAGAAAACGAACACCGAATAGCGAAAGTCGGGCGTCGTAATTCAAACGATGCCTTCGACGTGCTCGTTCAAACAGATTAAAACGTCAGAGTTGATTTGGTTCTAGCTAATGAAAATTAGAATAATATCTCCTTACTTTGATTTTCTATCATTAGTTAAAAAATATAGAAATGTACTGTGCGTCCGTGAGAAGTTGACTAGCGAAAAGAATGCGGGTCTGATTGGTCTCTGGATCATCATGGATCGTCTCTGTATACAAATTTAAATTCATTTTCAATTATATAAACAATTTATGATCTAGTTTTATTGTATACCAGTCGTACGATCAATTGGAATTGTTGAAACTTCTTTAGGTATGTAACGTCAAAGTAAATCTCAAAATAAACATAGAAGACAAAATAAATTATAAAAGCAGTTACGTGCATTGGATAGAGGATGGAATGCCCTTTAAAATGAGCGTTCGAACGAGTCGATAGCATTATTAGTTCCGGAGATATAGCGATTTTAATTTCCGAAACGTTTGTTTACGTTTCATTGTTTACATCGCGAGGTCATTGACCGCGCACGTGACGCGACGCGCCAGACGGAGACAGAGATAATCAAATTAAGAAAAATACCCTTCCACATAAATTACGATATCTCGAGAACGGAAAGTCCGATCGACAAAAACCAAAAACCATTTTAAAGGGGAAGGTTCGCCGCTTCTAACAATGCCTCAATTATTAATAAAACACTAGTAGTTTCGGAACTGCACGCGTCTAAATATAAATCGTTCAACTAGTCGTGTTCTCTCAGAAAACAAACAATAAGAATACAAGTGAATATTGAAAAATTCATTGTACCTATACTATAAGAAGAATCGTGAAGTTAAATGGCGCTAAAATAATATTGTGTACTAGAAATTCTAAACGAAATTAAAAAAACAGTTATTTGACGGATCACGGTAGGTTTTGTCTTAATCTCAACGATTGTTTCCAGACTATGGTGGTACATTTACGTTATTTTAATAAAAAAAAAGAAGTTATTTAAAACCTATACTTAAAATTTCAAACCAATTTTTGCTCCAATTTATTAGACATCGCGAAACAGATTAAATTCGTGTAACACTTATAGCTAAACATTGACCAACGAAGTTGAAGTTTCTTCGATATCATCAGCGATCGTATTAATTCGGCCACGTCTGTCCGCCTCCTAATGGACGTGATTTTCGAACGATCTCCGTCCAATTAAAATCCCGTGATTTCCGATTCGTTCGTTAAGCCGCGACGACTCGAACTCGCGGCATATTCCGCGTGTTTGTTCCGATGCAGTTTTTTGTCCTCTCGGCGGAAAAAAGGGATCGTCGTCGGGCGCTTGTTCCGACTTTGCGATTAAAATTACTTCTGCTCGAGGTTCTTTATTTTTTCTGCATTCGTTGTTCTTAATTAGCCCCCGGGACTCCTCGTCGAGATTAAACTTCTTTTCGCGTTTCTTTTTTTTTAGACGCTTTGTTGTTACTCGGAACGGAAACCTTTTGCCGCCGGAGTTAATTTGGAATAACGATCATCATCCGAATAAACGAGACTGAAATTCGAGTAACGTTAGTAGCGCTTAATAGATTGATAGTGTCAGTCGAAACGAATGATAATTATTTCTTTCCATCCTCAGCGCGACTATAATTGCATAGCAATTAGGAGGAAGCAGAGTCGGAAATTACCACACCGCGGTGAAAAAGGACAGTTAATGCTCGAACGATTTACTACTGAGGTTAATTCAAGGGAGAATTAAGAGAGAAAATTACGGAGAAACATATTAGTCTCTTGGTGTCATTTAAACCTTATTATTTTCGCCAGCGACCGCTCCACGTGGAAATTTCCACTTAACGCGATATTTTCGAGTTCTTCCCCTTTATTCGATGTACCAGTTTGTTCGAGAGGAATAGCAAATTACGGTAGAGGATGGGAGGAAATAAAACTACGTAATTTCAAACTATCGGTAATAATGGAAAGCAAAATGCACCTGAAACCTTGGTCTTATTGAAAAATTACATAAAAAACCTCTAATGGTGAAATAAAATTTTATCTAGATTTCACTCTTTTACCTATTCCCCAGAAATTAATATGTTGATAATAGTAATATTAAAAATTAAGAATTATTTTCTAATTTCGCTAACACGATCCTGAGACTTTCCTCTTGCTATAGATACATTTCGTTTTAAACACTCTATTCTAACATACTCGTTCAATGTGCTAAAGTTCGTAGATCTAACAAGGAGAGTGGTAAACCACAACAGTGCTTCAAAAACTTCAAAAATGTCAAAAACTATTGAGTAGTTGCACCTATAATGGTACATTTTCTTGGCCTACGTGACCAAATGTACAAACGTGGAAAGTTTCAGCCAAATCGGTGGGACTTGCACTCTCCTTGCAAGCTTTGTAATACTTTCGTTGGCCACTGTCGGGGCGATGGTTGATTGAAACCGTGTAACTTTGAAATGTTTCAGGACGTGGAGCACCCCGCGTGACCGCGGCACTCGCAGGAGATGGCGAAGGCAGGTTGATCGCCACCCCCGTCCACAAAGAGAGCATAGCGTCTAGGAGCAAGGAGGACCTAGCACAGGAGGCGGCCCTCGTGCTTCAACAAGCGGGCAGCCTTCACTGCGTCGCCCAGGACAACAGACGATTGCCCGGTCGGTTCAGCACACTCCCGGCGCGTCGTAACAAGAAGAGGCCGGAGCTGCCGCTCGATGTGAGACGCAGGAGCGAGGAGATCGGGTCTACGACGAGCGGGGACCTCGTCGGTACACCGAGACCGAAGAAGAAAGCACTGGAGAGAAGCGCGAGCGATGCTGGCTCGAAGAAGCTGAAGAAGGGCGCGCTAGCCAAGCTATTCTCGCCGAAGTTGGAACGAAAGAGGAAGCCGGTCGGTCGTAGCGCGAGCGACGCCGGCACCGCGACGCGATCGCACCGCAAGAGAAGCGGCAGCGATAGCGAGGGATCCCATCTGAGCAGCGTACGCGCCAAGAAGCAGTTGTCGCCGATAATCGAGGCGTCGCCGCACGTCGATCAGCCGCCGTTTCACTTCGGCAGAGTCGCGGTGAACGAGAACGCGAGCGTACCGGGGGCGAAGAAGTCCAAGCAGGAGGAGTTCGATGCCGTGGAAACGGTGAGGGAAATCGGCGAGAGTTTCGAGGGAACGGAAGCGAGCAAGCCGCCGATATCGCCGAGGAGAGCGAACAAGTCGACCGTAAGACGCATACCTATCGTGCTAGAGGACGATAACAAGATCGGAGAGGAGGGGGCAGAGAGGAAAGAGAAGGTAACCCGGACCCCTTCACCAGCAAAGGACACCGGGCTCGACGAAGTAGACAAGGTCGGCGCGAGTAGCATGCTGCACAGCAGCAGATACGATCTACAGCAACGCGACGAGGAGTCAACGATACACAAGATGATTCACCGATTATCCAACGATCGTTCGCCCCCGCCGCAGCTGACCAGAACGATGGTCTCGCCCGGGCCCGGATTCGGTCACAACAACAACCGGCCGTTCTCGTACACGAGACCGAACGAGTCGTGCAGCCCGCCGCCCCCGCAGACAAACGTGATTTACGCCCAGGTGCAGACCGATAAGAAGAAGGCGCAGAGGAGCCACTCGGACAGCGACGAGGGTCTCGGTCTCGAGAGGAAGGACTCGTCGCGGGAGAACAGCCCCGCGGAGAAGGAGTACCGCAGGACGGATTACTCGTACAGCAGCGACCTGAGGCGCAACAATGAGATCAACGCGTTCAAGAATGTCGCCGCGCACTTCCCCGGCCATTACGCCGGCACGCAGGACTACGCGTCGAGGAACACGGAGGCGAAACGACGCCACGAGTTCGACGAGATCGACCGGCGGCTGTACGACAAACCGGAGAAGTACACGTCGACGGTGTTCGTCGATACTTCCGGTAGGAGCAGGGCGGACGGGACGGACGCCAGGCAGCCCAAGTCCGGTATATCGAACAAGACGTCCGAGCTGAGCGCCAGACGCGACCTGCTCGAGTCCAGGATCAAGCTGCGGCTGCAGGCGGACGAGATGTTCGCCGCGAAGAACACCGCGAACGTACCGATCAAGAAGTCGGAACACGAGATCATCGATAAGCCGATAGTGCCGTCCCCGGTTACGCCGAATCGCGTCGCGTCACCGAAACGTTACATGGATACCTACATAACGGAGACACGCACCAACAGCAACGGCGAGAAGTACATATTCGAGAAGGAGATACACGAGGATAACGGGAAGGTGTACGGATACGAGAAAAAGATCACGAACAAAATACCGAACGACGGCTACATAGACACGAAACCGAGGGACGGTTACAAGGTGGAGACCAGGACGGACAAGTACGGGGACAAGTACATAGTCGAGACGCGGACGCACGAGGGTTACGCGGACGATTTCAAGCCGTTCCTCAGCGACAGAAGCAGGACCAGCCCGGACGAGAGATTCCAAGCGGTCGGGAACACCAGCACCCCGTACAAGGTGTCCAATTTCCATCCGGTCGAGACCCCGGTCGGGCATCGTTACCGCGGCGAGTCCAAGGAGAACCATCGTCACGTACTCTCCTCGCCCATAATCGCGAAGAAGCTCGCCAACGAGAGGAAATTCTCCAAGAGCGACGACTTCTTGGACCGCGACGCGCGACCGCGCGACGCCTACGCGCCGCTGAAGAAGAAGAACTTGGAGTCGATACGGGGCATGAGCAAGTCGACGCAGCGTCTGGACGAGATCGGGGAGAACGCGAGAGTCAGAGCGTTGAGGAGCGAGTACACGACCAGATCGCACGAGAACCTGACCAGCAGGGCGGACTACGTGAACGCCAGGGACATGCGTCGCCCGCTGATGAACAGTCCCACGATAAACGGTAGGAAGGAGAGGTCGCCGTTCGCCAAACGTCATCTGGACAGCTTGAGAGAGGGCCCGAACGACGACTACGACACGGACATATCGCAGCTGACGAGCAGCCAACTGGAGTCCAAGTATTACAAGGAGACGCGCACCACCCAGCGGTACACCAGCAGCAAGCATCCGGCCCACGACGACTACGACAGCTCCCCGCCCAGGATACGCACCGACCGCGGCGGCTACAACTCCAGCCGTTACGATTCCGACACCACGGCCAGGGACTCGATCCGTTGCGAGACCCGGAACGACGAGTCCTCGCGCACCCTCAGAAAGGAGCACCGAAAGCTGGACGAGGACCCGAAGAAGCCTCTGAGGAGGTCGCGCAACCGGTTGGACTATTTCGACGACTCGGACGCCAGGGAGAGTCCGCGCGCGAAGGCGTCCGTCGGACGATTGGAGCCGTTCGACGAGAGCCCGACCCGGCCACCTAGAGCCTTCCACGAGGGCGGCAAGTCCAGGCACATCAGGCAGGAGACCAGAGCGCACACCGAGCGCCGTCACCGCGAGACGCGTCTCAGCGATTCCGATCGGAAGGATCGTCTGGCCGACTCCGGCATCGAGAACGATTACAGACGCGACTCCCAGGAGGTGGACAGACGGGAGCAGATCGAGTCCGAGGACGAGGGATTCGTCACCAGGCAGTTCATCAAGCACGAGCGCAGGCACACCGATCGTAACATGAACCTGACGCCGTCCGAGCAACGGAAGTACGACAAGTATACGAACGACGTCGCCAAGTCAGCGCCGGTCACCGCGAAACCGCCGTCCGGCGCCGATAAAAAGTACGAGAAGAAGGCGGCCAAGAAGAGCGGTACCATGAGCAAGGTGAAGCAGCTGTTCAGCAAGAAGGAGAAGAAGACGAAGGAGGAGAAGAACAAGAAGAACGCGAGGAGCAGCAGCAGCGGCGCGCTGACGGACGACGAAGTAACGATGAGGTACAGGGAGTACCGCGGCGATCAGCTGAGGAGTGCCAAGAGCGCCAGGGACTTGGGCAGCGACATCAATCAGGTAAGGGGACTCTTTGTTATCCGGCTTTGAGGTCGAACGAGTGCCACGCGGACCACGAGCGCTCGCCTCCGTCCGGGAAGCGAATCTTTACGACAAATAGTAGCCTCCGCAGCTATCTCTTTATGCTTCGTTTTGAAAGACGGAAATCACCGCGTATCGGGCAAGATAGATAGCCCGTGACAGTCGTATAATCCGAAGCCTTATGAACTTCTTTTACAACCGCGATCCACGGTCTTATCCGATCGTCGTGGATCACCGCGGACGGTTTCTTACGATCCTCGAACGACCACTTCCGCAATAACACGTGGAATGCCTTTGATGGACAGGGCCGCGTACCTGGCGCATCTTTAATGAGGGACCTCGTCGACTATTTAAGGGGGTCTTCTACTGTGAACCGTCAAAAAATTAGATTTTTGTTTTTTATTTTCTTACACTTTCTCTGAAAACTATCTTTTCTGAATTGGCTTCCATGTTATCTCAAGATCTACTTGACCGATTTCGTTCGAATTTAGCATGCACCTTCAGTACATGTGTCGCTATAGCTTGTACTACGATGAAGTCAAAATCATTATTCTTTCTATTTTTTTTTAGCCTGCTAAAGTTAAAAATAATTTAGTCTATTTGTTTCAAATTTCTATGAATTCTTGATGTTAATTTAAAATTTCAAAAGTCCCCTGAAATGACAAATTTTGTTGTCTATTAAATTACAAATTTTATCCTCGTCAATCTCAAAGTATCGAACGCATGAGACGATCTAATAGTTTCCTGGGAAGTAGACAAGGTCGATCATAACCCTCCAGGCCATCCTGGTAGCATCCATGTTGCTGCAAATCACGGAAACAATTAGTCCCGCCATAGGGAAGATAACAATATATTTTTTTATGAGAAAATTACGATTTAATTAATTGGAACGCGGACGCCAATCGAGAACAAGTGACACGAATGTACCTAACAGTTCGATCATCCGTAAGTCACGCAAGGATTCGAAGTGTTGCGCAAAGACAGCCTCCGGAGATTTCTAAATGCATACGCGCCACTTTGTGCGGTTCGATCTAATTGGCTTTTCTTATTGCAAAAATAAAATTTCCCGAGCCATACGTTAGCGAAACGCGTATCTTTCAATTAGAAAGTAATTTATTTAAGCACACGGCGACCGCAAATCAACTTTTCTTGCCGCGCAACGGTGCCTCGTCCCCCCAGCGTTCGTCGTTCCAAGCCTGGCTAGGCGTTGTTCCGAGTAAATGTAAGACCCTTAGAAACCGGAAGCATTCGATAATTGGGATCTCATACCGTTCCCGAGTGCGCGGTTGCGTCACGCCTAACTGTACACCAGCCGGTGGAAAGTATCCGCACCGGTGGACAGCGTATACCTGAATCGCGCTCCCGCCCACGCAACGGAAACGTTTTTCGGAGTATTTATCACGCTCGTAAGTGGAAACGAGGCGGCACCTTCCCTGCAACCTTTCACAACGCTTCCGGGGAATCACAAAATTAATTGCAAAGCGTCAGAAATGCTTCGTTTCAAAATTTTAAAAATTACTGGCAATTCATTTTCACAGGATCGTCCCCCTCTTAACATTATCATAAAATTCAATATATTTATATTGATACAATAGAAGTTTTTCTTTTAATTGATATATACAGGACAGGTAGAGGAAATATTTGTGAATTATTTAGTGAATAATTGAAATTAATATTTACATTTTTGTTGGGATAAGGTATACATTAAAAATATAAAATCTCAGGTTTAGATTTATTGTAATCTTTTTGATGGCGCACTTAAATGTTTACATTTCAATAACATTTTCCTTTTGTTAAGTAATCTACTATAAAAATATATATTATATAAAACTTGAGTGCATATATATTTATACTACTTTGATTCAATTTAATTCATATCTTATTTTCCCTCTATCTGTCAGAGGAAAGGGGACGTTTAATGGTCGGTCGAGGAGCGTATATGAAAGAATAAATGGAGTGCTTGCGAGAGAGATAAGTTGCGCGTAGCCCTCTGGTGGCGAGCGCGTGAAGTATCGTTACACAGACCAAATTCAACGATTTAACCAATCCGAAACCTATTAAACTCATAACTAAATCTTCTATAAAAAGTATCGGTATTATAGAAGGTTTGCAACCAAGATTCAGTTAGATCCAGATTTTACCGACTACCAGTTACGAGCGTCAGGCTCAAGCAGACTGGCGGCCTAAGGCTTGGTAACGGAGCTCTCAGTGTCCAGGCTCCCGTACGAAGAACGATGATATAGTGCTCAAACGATCATCGATGTAAAAGTCAGCTGCATTCTCTCGGAAAGTGTGCCCGCGCGTAAGATTTATCGTACGTAACATTTAACTCGTATGATAAATAATTCCCCAGTTTATAACCGTACCGAGAACATCCGTCTTCCACGGTGGAAGTTCGTCGCGCTTATTGGGCTGCGATCTCTCCCGTTAGGTGAAGACGAAAGTTCATCAAGGTCGGATAACACGATGCGTGTACGGAATGAGTCGCTAGAAAGTACTATCTGAAATCGTGTCCGATTCGTTTATTCCGGGAGAAAGATGCGCCGGGATGAAATATACATGTTGGCCGAGTAACTGTTAGCGCCTTAACCCCTTCGGGCATCGGGATTATATACTGCGCCGTTAAACGTTCGCAAATATTAAATTTAATTTCTGTAAATCGCCGGTGTAATACTTTGGTAACATAATCCACCCTGGTCACGGATTCTATCTTTCGTCTGGACGAGAGAAAGTTTCAAAGTGATTCCTCAATTTAAGGTTAGAGGAGGGTTGGAGTTTAGCGTTCTTTCGAACGATACGAATTGTTTGTATTCGATTGGTGTCATTTTAATTTTTTTAACTATGTTCCACCGCTTCGAAAAATCTGAAAAAATTACACGTGGATGGACGCAACGAGACCCACAAACTGTAAAAATATAAACGCGATCGTTTGATAATTTCGGTATAAAATTGTTTAAAATTGAGAAATGAAACGCTCTCAGAATGTCCATGATTTTTGATACGATAAAAGAAATGGAACTACCCTAATAGAAGGAGTAGTGGGTGAATTCATTGATACTGTGGGATCGGGAAGGTAATGACTCCGCCCTGTTCCGTTCCGCACAATTTTATTGTTGCTGTCGTACAACGACGTGACTCGTGGTGCGGGTTACGCTCGACTCTCTGGTACGATCATCGCCACCGTACCAAGAGGCCTTCAAAAACAAAAGACGGTCAGAGACGACGACAACGGCTTTTCGGCTCACGCGGCTCTGGTCGTCTCGTGTGCAACCATCGTCTCGTGTGCAACCATACATTGTAGCGGCTTCGAACGGCTAAGGCGTATGTGGTGCCTTGGCCGCCACACTACCCCCCTGCCAGTAATTGGCACAATTACGAAAAATTGACCGACTACATTACCACTACCATTTACTCTATTATATAAAATACGTTATCCTAACTAAGATTTACATTACAGTATTTGAACAGAGTTGAAAAAAAAAGGAATTTACATGGAGTTTAATATATAATACGTAATACCTAAAAATACATGAAAGTACATAAAAGTGATGGAAAAAAATAAATGGTATATGATACTTATTATAATAATGCGCAAGCCTTAAGTACTACCGCGTAATTTGAAATCGCTCGGGAAAACGTACGCGTCTACCTGAACGCGTAACACGTTGCTGTATAACCGGCGCATTGTCAGGTACGTTTGTTTGTGTGACCGGCTGATTTTCTATGCTCACGGGATCCGGTCTGTTTTCTGCTAGCATATAAGCAGGCTTTAGCCTTTCAATTGATATATTTATTTCCTTACCTCTAATGTTTATTGTAAATGTTTTTTCGCCTCGGCGCACTACGGCGTATGGACCTTCATAAGCGGGTTGTAAAATAGTTTTGGCTGAATCTGTTCGGATGAAAACATGTGTTGAACTGCTAAGATCTTTGAAAACGAATGTACGATTAACGGAATGGCGTGATGCATTAGAGGGACTCAATTTAGAAAAATGGTTGCGTAGTCTATTAGTAAAATCGGAAGCATTTTCTGTGCCTTCCGCTGAATGCGAAGACAAGAACTCTCCCGGTAATCTTAATGGCTCGCCATAAACTAATTCCGCTGAGGTAGCGCCGAGGTCTTCTTTCCAGGCGGAACGAATACCGAGTAGAACCGTCGGAAGTATTTCTGTCCACCTGTCGGATCCGTGGCACCTTATAGCCGACTTGAGCTGTCGGTGAAAACGCTCTACCATCCCATTGGCCGCTGGGTGATACGCCGTTGTGCGAAGGCGTGTGGATCCAATTAAATTGTTCAGCGCAAAAAATAATTTGGATTCGAACTGCCTACCCTGATCGGTGGTAATCCGTACGGGAGCACCAAACCGCGCTACCCAACCGTCATAAAAGGTTCGAGCTACGGTTTGGGCCTCCTGATCGACCATGGGGAAGGCTTCCGGCCACCGCGTATATCTGTCTACACAGGTCAGACAATACCTGAAACCTTCGGACACCGGTAAAATTACTATGTCTAAATGAATGTGTTCGAATCGCGCAGAAGGTTTAACAAATGTAGCCAATGGTGCAGTCACATGACGGGAAATTTTTGATCTTTGGCACGGTATACAGCAACGTGTCCACGTGCGAACATCTCTTTTAATCGACGGCCAAACATAACGTTGCGTTATGAGCTTGATCGTCGCGTTAATACCTGGATGTGATAATACATGTAACATATTAAAAACTGCACGTCGGAAAGGAGGGGTGACATAAGGTCTTACATTCTTAGTCGAAATATCGCAAAAAATTTCGGAAGACGTGCCAGGCAAGGAGACTTTGCGTAATCGCAGGCTAGATTCGCTATTCAACAACCACTGCAACTCCTCATCCTGGGCTTGCGATTTTGCCAATTCTTCGAAATTAATCGAGTGGTTAACCGTTTCCACTCTGGACAGTGCATCGGCAACGACGTTGTCTTTACCGGAAATATGTTGAATATC